AACAAGATTTTCACACTTTCCCAGTTTTGGATAGTTGCTAATATTTCATGAGACAGTCACTTTGTCATACAAGGGAGCTTTTGGCACATCTATTGATGCTAACTGTCACTGGATTTTTCCATTTTCCTGCCTTTTTTATTCATTGTCACTAGTTACTACCTATTCCTTCTTTGTATTGTGGAGGTTTGAATTTACTCATGCTATTAGATTAGCACAAGTCTTTTTCTGTATTTAAGAGGAACATCTACTTCAAGTCCATATATGAATCTCTCTACATTCCTGCTACAAGGAAAAATTCTTTATTCCTTAATAGTTTGCCTGTACCATGTTGTTAAATAAATGAAGTAAGTAGAGTGTTTGCTTAGCTAACTGTCCTGCATTCCAAACTAAGCAGACCACTCCAAAACCAAGCAGAAGCTGTTGCCACACCACAAGGAGCTAGGAAAGAGCCCCCTCTCTGTTACTTTGCTGTTGTGCTAGTGCAGATTGCCATATGCTGCTCACTTCTGCAGTCAGTGGGATCTGATTGCTAGTGGCAGAAGCAGGGATCGGTGCCCTGGTTGTGGGACTGGGAAGTCTTTATTCTCTTAATACCACCATGAAACTAGCGGATAGCTTTAATTGGCGTCCTTAAAAGGTTTTTTATATTACTTTGTACAGAATACTTATGTTTGCTTACCTGTTCAACAGCACATGTACTCATTTCACCTCATTTTACCTGCAACAAGAGAAAGAAAGCCTTAACCTTCCTTGGCAACACCGGCAATTACCCGCCTTTGGGCTCGAGGAGTAAAACACTAGGATTAGAGCAGCCCTTTCAGCACACCAAGTGCCCTCACCACCTTGTAGGCACAGTCATTTCAGTGGCAGTGTTGCTCAGCAGTAGATTTATTTCTTTTTTTACTCCTGCATGTGTTCGACATCAGTGTGTGAAAAATTGCTACCAAGGGGCAGGTACTGATCATGAAACAGCTATTACTGGCTGCCAGGTACTGCAGAAATTGGGGTCACTGCTTGCTTTTTCCAAAAGAGAGACAGTTTAATGAAATCCTGCTCTTCAGAGGCAAGAAAATGTTTATCCCCTCCACACAAATTCATAGTCCTGAGGTAGAATGATATGAATATGTATAATTTCTTTAGTGAATTAAATGAATTTGTAAGAGAGTTTTGAGGCATGTAGCACTCTCAAAGTCCCTCGTTCAGCTCTCTCTGCTGCCTGCGTTTAGCATTACGCTGAGCAGATGTGCAGAGAGTTACATAGTGCCTTCAGTCCCAAATGGCTTCAGTGATGTTTCTGTCTGAAACAATGTTCCTTGGCAGGATGATCAGGCAGCAGCACACTCCATGGATGTCCCTTATTACTTCTTACAAGACTTGAATCACTGGTGCTCATCCAGCTTTACGTAACGGCTAGTTGGCCCACAAGCTCTGCTGAGCTGTGACTACACCATAGGCAGATCATATCTGGATGGCTAAATCCCAGCAAGATCCTACTAACCACTTGTGTAGATCCTTCTGTCTGTCCTAGTGTAGAAAGGTTAAGAGCACAGGTTCCCACAATATGTGCAGCACACACAGAGGGACTGAAAACCAAGGGAGAGCAGAGGCATTAGGTAAACAGCCAAAAAAGATGAGGCAACATCACACAGAAAGACACGACAAAGAAACTGGTGGATTTAGTTGACTTCAGCTGGGCAAGGCTTGGATGCTGCAGTCTAGTGTGTTGGTGTTCATAAGCAGGCACATCAGCGGCTCTGCTGGATGAAGTGAGCTTCCAGGACTGATCCCTCTGATATTTTCTCATCCAAAGAGGCTGCACACACAAAGAGAGTAATAACCCAAATGCAGAAGGTGATGTGAGGACAGGATGTATGAGTTGGAAATATTTCAATGTTTGCTTCAGGTTGGTGATACAGCTCTGTGTATTGAACTGTAAAAGGTGGCTCAACTGTTCTAGCTCCTAATTGTGAGCCCATCCTCTGCCTATTTCTCTAAAAGCTGACTTATTCCCTCAACAGTCACATCAGAAGTGATTTGGGCAATATAACTGTGTGGTACAATGTTGAAGCTCAAGTTTGGGCCAGGCAGTGTCTTATAGGTCCCATGCTGTATCTACTAGCCTTGTGCAGATGTCTTGGGCAACCTAAACTGTCTAAAATCGCACTAGGCACCTACATCTGGGCACCTGAAGGGAGTGTGTCTGTCATCAGCACATTCACACTGCTTCCACTAGGTATCCCCTGTAAAATCTTGCATTAAGGAAAACACATCCCTACCCCTTACAGGCAATAGACTTAAACAGATGTGGGTCTACAAACTTTTTACTCCAGGAATAACAAATGAACTGTTTTGCATGAAAAGTTTATCAGATTATGCTCCTTTCCCGCTACAGATTATTCTGAAGCAGACATGACAATAAATCTCCGCAGTCCTATGAATATTTCATAGAAACACATTTCAGCTTATGGGTGTTCTTTTTTTTCTTGAACGATTATGTCTGTGTCTTTGGCCATTCATCGTCTGTGATACGTGACTGGCCACTTAATTCAAATTACTGTAATGTCTGGCTTTTGACTGGTTCATTAAATATTTCATAACAAGGAGGAAAAGTAGCACTGCAGATGACATTTATGTGAATATGCAAGCATATTCTTAGTCAAGATTTCTACTCACAAATGCTTCGGGAAGATTAATAGAGATCTCTAAACATTGTTGAAATAGTGACTTTTTATTCCAAGAAATGTTAACGAAAATGGTGATGATAATGATTATTTTCTACTGTTGCTCTAGTTATGGGGATGCGGGTCCAGCATTCTGTAGTCTCTCTAGGACTGGAGTATAACTCACAAATGTAATGAGAAACAAAGTAGATGAGATCTCTTGCAATGGATTTCATTAGTGTAATAGTTCTTGAACAAACTCTGGAAAACAAATCTCAGAAGCCTAACATTTGCCTTGTCAGTCCATGGGAGCTCAACGCTAAAATTCATAGACACCGTAACAAAGTTAATTTTGAGTAGCAATGGGCATTTCTGAAAAGCCTTAGTTCTCATGTGTATCTCTTGTAACACAAGTAAATTCTTCAGATCATTAGCTACAAAATCTGCAAGGCAGAAAAAAGAGGCTGGAGGAAGGAGGAGTAAGCTATTAAATCTGAATTCTCCCAGATGACTATCAGCTTTTCAGGAGCAAACTTTTCAACAGTTTAACTTTTATATTAAATTCCTGCACGCATTTTTAGCAATCCTGTCTCTCTAGGAGCATTTAGTTACGCATACAAACACCAGCTAACGCAAAAGATGCTGCCAAACCGCTATCGGTCCTTCCCATTGACTGGGAGCACTGTGTGGGCATCGGAATAGAAGGTTCCCATGAGAAACACAAAACCTCAGTGAGGTGAATGACAAAAGACCCGTTGACTTTGGGAGAGGCTGGGTCAAGCAAAGGTGCTGTACGCACAGGTGTTCACCTACTTAGGAGATTCAACCTCTTCTACCAGGCTCATCATGCTCTCGGTGGTTTATTCAAGCTCTAATGGTCTCTGGTTTGCTCTGGTGAAGCCTGACCTTATCAAACCCCAACATGTGAATGTGACCTGCCACTGCTGTCACAGTTTCCCCAGTGGGAAGGAACCTTCCCCCAGTAAGGATGCTGGTGCCTTCGCTCTGTCAGGTTTTCCTGGTGGATTTGGAGCCATGTACTCATACGGATGGCTGCCTTCTGCTTTAGCATGTATATTATGAGTGGGAGAGAACCAGCTCCCTAATTTATCAACGTCTCTCTGCAGGGCCTCTCTGTCCTCGAGGGAGTCAACAGCTCCTCCCAATTTAGTGTCATCAGCAAACTTAGTATTCCTTTGAGTGCTGCATCCAAGTCGTTAATGAAGATGCTGAAGAGAAATGCAGCCCTGTGGAACCCCATTAGTGACTGGATGCCAGGCCCATTCACTGTAAGTCTTTGCACCCAAGATGTGAGCCAATTGCTCACCCATCATGTAGCATGGTTCTCCAGCTGCATGCTGGACATTTTGTCCAGAAGGATTCTGTGAGAGGCAGTATGAAAAGCTTTCCTGAAGAAAAAAAAATAAAAATCACTCTTAGGGTAGTCAGGCATTGGAATAGATGGCCCAGGGAGATGGCAGAGTCACCATCCCTGAAGGTGCTCAAAAGGCACCTGATTGTGGCACTGGATGATATGGTTTAGTGGTTATGGGGTTACAGTGGTAGCAGTGGGCTGGCGGTTGGACTGGATGATCTTGAGAGTCTCTGCAAACCCTCATGATTCCATGATTCTACGAAGTGGAGGCTGGTGGAGATCTGGGGGACAGATGAGGAGCTGTGAGTGGGCAATGAGAAGCAGAAAGCTCCAGGAAACTGGGGACAAAACCGTGAGGGGAACCTGCCGGACTGCGGTGGGAGCGGAGGTGGCTGGGACCGGGTGGAGGGTGTGCACTGAATACCCCTGGGCAGGACGGGGTGGAGGGTGTGCACTGAATACCCCTGGGCAGGATCGGGTGGAGGGTGTGCACTGAATACCCCTGGGCAGGATCGGGTGGAGGGTGTGCACCAAATACCCCAGCAGAACCCCCGCCCTGAAGGAACTCCGGGCCCCGGGAACTGCCACCTCCACAATGCCGTTCGCCCGGCCCGGGCATGCGCCGCAGCCGCCTCCGAGGGGCCGCCCGTCCCGTCACCGCCCCGTCACCGCCCGCCTTGGGCGGGGACACCGCGGGTGAGGAGGCGGCCGGGGCGGCGGGGCCGGGCCGGGCCGGGTCGAGGGGCGGTCGCTGCCGCGGGCGGCAGGTGAGGCGGCGCGGCGTGGGGGCGGCCCGGGCACCCGCAGGGAGCGGGGCTGCGCCTCCTTTCCGAGGGGAAAGTGGGTGGCGGGGAGGTGCGGGAAGTGGGGCCGTGCCCCTCGTGATCGGCGGCGACCCCGCGGCGGGAGGCGGATAACCCGGGGACCCCCCCCGAGCGGGGCTGGCCCCGCGGCCGTGAGCACCGTTCCGGCCCGGCCCGGCGACGAGCGGTGAGGGCGAGCAGTGCCTGCTCTTGCAGTGCCTGCTCTCACAGGCAGCTGTTCAATTAAAACTCTGATAGCCTCCCCAGAGGTCAAAGACGCTGCAGGTTGAAAGCCTACCGGGGCAGGTAAAGATGTAATTATGTTCTCCTGACAATTTTCATTGATGGCTGGGTGCATTGGGAACCCCTCCCCGTCCCAGACACCTGTCTTCCGCTTTGAAAGCTTAGCAGTGAATTTGTGAGTTTGGCCCCAGTGGATCCGGATTCCGCATCCTGCCCCGTTTAATTGTTGTGTGCTGACTAAGCATAGTGGAAAAGTTTCTCTCGCTTGTGTCAGCTCTGGATGCGTTGCACATGCATGTTCTGAGGTCGGGCTCACCAGTGGCTGCTGGTGTCCCCTTCTTTCCTTCCAGCCCCTCACAATTAAACGGGTGTTTAAATGGGCTATTAAGATAAACGCTGCTGTTTTGGGAAAAAAAAAATAAATTGAAGAGGCACACTCTCCTCTGGTGTTGAGAATAATGACTGTATCTGAGCAACTGTTAAAGCCAAGGGAACATATCGGTGTTTTCACACCAGCACCATAGTTGGTTAACTATTGACATATGCTGACTTTTAAACGGTGACTGCTGACTCTGATAATAAAATAGAAGCGGCTCCTTTTGAGAGGGATCTCAAAACACTCGAACTGATTGATTGGGTTGTTAGCTCAAGCCTTGACTTAGCTGAGAAGGAGAAGAGCTTTTATTCTCTGCGAGGACGTTCTCCCCGACACAAATCTGATGTATGCTAAACACATCAGCTGTAAGACAAGATGTGTATTTTGCAGTGTCATTTTCAAAGCCGTGGTAGATACCAAATGCGTGTACTAGATATAGGAAACCTGCCTTGCAGACTGCTTTTCTGCTGGGGTGCATTTTGAGCTGGGGTGCATTTTGAGCAGTTTATGATTGCAAGGTGGGAGCTTTACTTGGACTTCGTGTTTTAATTAGCTGTCATCAGAGCTTGAGTTCGGCTTCCAACATTCATGAAGTGTGCCATGAACATGCACTCTAGGTACCTGGCTGATGTTTTGGGACTAACTGCCTGGACCACTTTCTGTATTAAGCAATATGCAAAATGGATGGACTGTGTGGAAATTCTTTTGCAGTTAAATTTCCAATCTCCTGAATCACGTCCCACTGTGAACTTACTGAGATTTGCTTCAATCAGTTGAATATTCTCATCCTCCTTATTCTCAGTCCCTTTCTCTTAAAATTTGTTGCTTTAAATTCTTCCATAAGTGCTGTGGGTTTAAATGGTTCCCTGTAACAGCAGCCCACATTCAGTTACTGCTCCTCAGAGTTTTTAACATATCTGGCCTGTGCTCTAACACAGCAAGGTTTTTAGGAGGTGTTTTAAGACACGGAGGCTTAGAGATCCTCCACGAGTAAAACTATCACTTTATTCAAATAATCAGAGCCATAGATGATTTTTCTCAGCAGAAGAACCTGTTTTCTGTTTAAAATGGCTTTTCCAACTGGGATATATCTAGGCTGTGAAGGAGCAGATTTTTCTAGGAAGTGGTGGGAGGCAGGAAATGAAAAAAGAAGGTGGTGCAAAAGAGAGCGTTAAACCAGATCAGAGAACCAGATCAGAGGTCCTCAGCTGTGCAGACAAAATTTCTTCAAGAAATTTCGTAGTCTTCTCACACTGTGGAATGGTAATTTCTTTGGCTGTGTTTCAAGATGGATGCAAATTCAGTTTTGTGGTTCACATCGAGGGGAAGAATGGGTCTGTGGGTCCACAAAGCCTGGAGAAGAGTGAGATAGAAAGGGTCAGGGGACTTTTGGCGAAAATGGGCGATACTTCCCCTGTTTTGCTCGCTGCTTTCCTGGGAGAGCCAGTGCCATTGACTTTTCACAGTGGGCACAGAGCACTGACAGTTAGCACTTGGTGGTTCTGCTGTGCTGTATGAATGCATGACATGGGACCCTCCTTCTCTTTTTAGGTCTTCGCCCCTTTCCTTCACCTTCTGTGGTAGCACGTGTTCCCTCCTCCTCCATCAGCACACCACCTGCTCCAATACCATTTTGCCACCTTCCCCCCACAACTGTCTCTCCCTGTCCTGGAAGCGAACCAGTAGGTGCAATGTGCTGAAAGAAAGTAGGTTTCTTTTTTGCCTTCCAAGTATGCAGATTGGGGAGGCACTTGGTCCTACAGCGCCCAGCTCTGCCGGCGTTTGGAGCAAGCTGTGAGCGGGGCATTGAGCTCAGCAGGGTGGAGCCTCAACTGCAAGTTTTCAAAGCCAATTACTGGACGCAGTCTATGTATGACAAGCTTCAGTTTCATTAGCTGCCTCCCAGGAGTATCGAGCTGTGCAGCTCACCTTTGCAGAGATCAGAGTCTCCTCTGTGATGTTATTAGGTGTTCTTAAAAATAGCTTCATCAATCCACTTTAAAAGAGCTGGTTTGCTCTGATAACAGTGCCTGCTGGTGCTTTTCCAGATAAGGAACTTGTCACTTCTCCTGCTGTCATACATGCAGCTTCTGCCCTATTTAGAATACAGCTTAAAAAAAGACTACAAAATAACCACCAGTCTTGTGTAAAGATTTATGTTTGGTTTAGGAACAACTGAACGTTCCTTATTTAACTGCTTTGGACAGTGTTGGTTTATTAAGACAGTAGCATCAAACTAAGTGCAGAGTTGAGATATAACGTCACATACCCGTGTCTTGAGGAAATATTCATGATAACATCTCTTATATAACAAAGTGACAACAGGCCAAAGATCTCATTTTTTTTCTTTTTTTTTTTTTCTGTCCCAATTAGAAGTTCATTAGCTTTAAAAAGAATCTGGAGTACTACATAGTGCCTGTATGGGTATAATCTGTATAGTGGTGGGAAGCAACCAGACGAAATAGTATAAAACCAGTTTCAGTCTCTTTTGAGGATCTGAAAAGTAGTTCCCAGCAGTATCATGGGGAAACTGCAGTTGCAGGACATACCTAGTAATTCATTCTATAATGGTGTATACAGGAGCAATGTTCTAATTTACTCATTTCTTTGATGTTTTGTGAGCAGATGGCATTTTTGAAAAGGTCTGTAAATTCTGTGGGAATTTGATAATGGCTAATTGCTGGGGGATCAGAAGAGAGTAGCAGTCAAAGTGAGGCTTGTGACTTCTCTGCTCTCAAAAGAGAGACAGCCCTCTCTGCAGCCTCATTTTTAAGCTACTATCCTTTTGGAAATTCTTGCTCAAGAATATTCACCGGTGTCCTCAGCGTAAATTTGAAACTTGTTGATTAGTCTTCATTAACTGAACTGTGCTTCATGAACCAGTCACTTGTTACCACAGCTAAAAAGTACCAGGGAGATCATGGCTTGTTGGAGACAGTGCACTGTGAATTTTCACATGCCGTTACTTCTTCGCTCTTTCCCTTGTTCTTGCTTGCTTCATGGTTCCTTTCCTTTCAGTTTTCCTTCATCTGTTTCTGTCTCCTTTTGTCTGTGATTGACTTAGGTCTGTTCATGTATTTTAAGCACCTGCCTCGTGTTTGCAGCACAGGACCTCAGTACCTATTTGCACTGTGACATCAAAGGATCACATTTCAAAATTACAACTTTTCCTTTGAACAAGAAGGAAAAAAGGTTCCTGGTTGCTATGGTGATGAGTGCTATATAAATGCCTATAAATAAATAAACAGCTGATTCATGGACTTTGATTTGCACTATTTTTGCTTTTCTAATGAGATATAATTAAATATCAGAATGAGAGGAGGTTTCCTCAATTTTATTAAATACATATTATTCTTAGGCCTCCTGTTTTACAGTATTTCTACTGAGAACGGTTAAATAGTAAGATCTGTATTTTTCTCTCTGTAGGGAGTTGATGGTTTGGAAAATCATAGTCTAGTATTTATAGAAAAACTTTAAGATGCAAAAAGCCACTCCGCTATAAAGGTGGTGTCCATTTTCAGTTTAACCAGAACATACATTTTGAGCTAAATGCCTGTTTTTCTTATCTTTAAGAGACTGTTATTGCTGTCTCAATATTAAAGTTCCAGTCAAAAGTGTCTGTAAATGTAATTATGTTCCTCTGCAGTATTTGAAACCCCACTGGTGCACAACAACAAAACTTGGAAATGTCACTGACTTTTCCTTTTATGTTAAAATGACAAAGGCAGAGTAAAAAAATCTAATATTCCTTGTTGAAGTTCGAGGAGGAGGGGAGAATTGACTTTTTTGTAAGTCTTTTGTTCTCAGGTCTATGATGTAAAAGTAGCTTTCTGTCTCTGTGCTAAAGGTGATAATTGTAAAATGGATTGGATGCAGACAATAAACTGCTTCTTCAGAAGTCAGGGAGTAGCCACCTGTCATTGCTAAAAAAAGCTCTTTTCATTAGCAATCTCTGGAGCCAGTCCACTCGCAGTCGACTGCAGCCCAGTTCCCCAGCAGTGCACTGGAGTAATCCCCCCTCAAAGGTGTTTCTCACTCAGGAAATGGGTGTACTTTCTTTAACAACGAAGGAGAGTTTATAATGGAAGGAGCTTTCCTTAGGGGAAGGAAAAGAGGTATATATGATATACAGAAATACTCCTTTGTTAAAGGATCAGTCTGGTTTCTTGGTGGAAACTGATTTTGCCACAGTGGCCTGAGGAGAGATTTGCTGAGTCCTAAGCTGTGGAGTGCAGCTTGTGCACTGGCAGCAAGTGGATCTGCTTTCTATCACAGCCACAGCTTTGTATTCAAAGAAGCTGTCAGATTTCCAAAGAACTTTGGAGAACTACCCTGTCCTGTTAAATGTTTGATAAAATAACACCACATCCTTCACTGTCTTCCTTCCTTGTGTGCACTCTTCGCTTTAACAATTAAAAAATATATTTGACTACATGCCTCTTACTTCAGAGCGTGTGTAATTGGGAGGACAAGGATGCACAGTAGTTTTTTGCACTTACACACAACTACTTCTCACAGAGCGAAACATGTATCTGCACACAGCTATTGAAGGCAGGGGCAGAATAGGAGCAAGGAATGATGTCCCCGAAGGTCTCACTTGACCAGTGACAGCCTGACAGTTTGACCTGCTGGTCTCATCTGCCTTCCTCAGGTTGCATGACTGACAGTGCACAAGGCAATCCAAGGTCTCTCCCAAGAGGGTCGCTGCAGAGGCTGATGAGGTCTGAAGGCAGCCTGAACCCAAAGAGAATCTGTGCTGACTACAGGAGCATCAGGGAGATGGGAAGGGCAGCAAACAGTGAGTCTTGAAAGTGCTTCAAGTTCGCAGCTACTCCCAGGGATATGGTGTACTGGAGACCACGTTGGTGCTGAAGCAGACCAGGCTCCAGAGTCATTGACAGAGTTTTCTCAGTTGGAAAGCAGCATTATTAGTAGCACATACTGCCTTTAATGGAGAGGCATCTTTATTTAGAAGCCTTTTCTTAGGGTAGGAGGATTAAATATACATATAGATATTTATGACAGGACAAGCTGTTGAGGACAAGCTGGAGGTATTGTGTGTCTGCTTTTCTAGCATGGATACAACAAAGGGTGAAACAGTGAATATATACCAGATTTATTTTTTTTTCTTCTTCAGTTCTGCTTTTCTGTGGCTGGGATTTTTTTTCTGTCAATTTTTTTTTTCAATAGATAGATATGATCCAGGACCATCTGGTGGAATTTGCTGTTGTCACATCTAGGTTTTCTGATGTATTGCCTGTCAAGTTATGTTGTATGTTCAGATGAATTTCTCATATGATCTGCTGACAGCTACTGACAGCCCTGAGATGGGAAGTTGGAAGCTTGGGGGGAAGAAGAGAGGGGCAGAATTAACTTTAAAAATGTAACTCTGATTGTTTTTGATTGTTGGGATTTTATTTCTGATACTTACGGGTGACTTTTTTAGTGAAGAAGTGAACGAGTGAAGAAAGGTGAATGAGTAACTTTAAACCAAATGCATCTAAGTGCAGCTAGGGTACTGTACTTCTACTTGCAATGTTTGTAGTCCACTCGTAGTTTTGTTGTTGATTTTTTTTTTCTCTTTGACGCTACGTTCCTCACTTAATCTTTCTCTATCCTTACCTCTCCATCTGTAGACAAGCTCACACCTACTTACATTGGAGCCTTTTCTTCCTCCTTTACTTCTCAATCCTTACCCAGTCCCTCTTCAGAAAGGAGATCTCAAAACATTTCTGTATTTATTAGGATACCACCAGGTATCCTAATAATCATAGTATCTCGATATCCTAATCCTAATAGCATAATAATTCTGCAGTAAAAAGAACTAACATTTTTGACAAATTGGTATTAACCTTTGCAGACAGATCACATGTATAAAAGCAATAAGCAACTCTGAAATAGCTAGAGTAATTGTTTTCTTGCTGATTTAATACTCAAATAATTAATTAAAGTGGGGGGGGTTGATGTAGAAGTCCACAGTGCAATTGCATTTTCTCACACAATGAAAAAGATAATGCTGTACTTTGTAAACCAGAATCTGAACAAGCTATAAGCACTTCAGTTTTTTCCTCATTTTTTTCTGCCATAATCTGAAACTCCTAGTAGCAATTAGGCTGGTGACAAGATAAATTTCACAGCTTGTTATCATTCTTCATTTTTTAATTGGCCAGATCAGAAAAGAAGTGATTTGTGTTTGAACTTTCAAGGTTTTTAGTTTATATAGTACTGGTAGAAAGCATAGTACAGGGACTTCTGAAGGGGTTGGGAGGAAGCCTGTTTGTAGACAGAGATGGGATTGCAGTGCAAAGGCATATCCAGATGTGTTTCTGACACAGACTGTCCCCCTTTTCTCTCTCAAAGTTGTGGTGGTTGTACTGGGCCTCTGGATCGTTACATCCTGCTAACTGTTGATGAAGTTGGAAGTCACCCTTGGAAAGGAAAAGACTTTCTTCCATGGGGGTTTGAAGCTGAACATGACAGTCCTCAGACTCAGGGGACTCTTGTTGCAGTTTGCTAAGGAAGAAGCTGGAAAGTATTTATTTGCCTCTAATTATTCTTGTGTCTCCTCAATGCTGCTTCCTGGCCTGGGGAATGTGAATGCCCTTCTGTAGCTGTAGACAGACCTTGTGTTAAGCTGACAAGGCCGGTAGAGCCTGAATATAGGGACAGTGTTTTGTACTCC